GTAGGAACAAGAAGAAACACTGATAAAGAGTGGACGGGGGCTTTAAACTACAAAAGCAGTCATAATCCAGTACGACAGCACAAAGCGACACACTGTCCTTGCAGGTGCATGTAAGATATGCATGTGTCATGTCTCTGTGTTAAGAAAGACCAATTTGTCTCAATACATGTCTTATTTGTTTGAATGCAGAAACGCACAGATAGATTTCTTCATCCATCTTTGGTCAAGCAGGCCCAGTCTCTCACTCTCCATCTCTCTTGCTTTTCCTCTCCCCCCTTTCCTCAGCCTCCTTCCTATCGAATAAACGCAGGCATTTTATAGACACAGGCCCCGATGCTGCGATATTGTTTTGAACTCTCTCTGTTATGTATTGATCACTGGCTCGCCTGTTTATCTGCACCGTTTGGACACTTATAGATGAATACATGCACACGCGCTCTCTCACACGCATGAACATAGAGGCACTTTCATTTGGACCAGTTGCTGCCACATTGCAGTGAAAGAAGAGGTGTGTGAGTGTGTATATGTATGACATTCAAACATTGATGTCTGACTACTGATTCCTTGTTATCTTATTATTACCCCTCCATTCTACATGGAGGCACCACTTTGTTGTTGCATGTTTTTGTGCATAGTTGAACTGCTCGGGCAGCAACTCCATCGCTAATTATAGCTTTCCACTTGAGCGGCGACACAGAGACACGGGCCCTTGTGTTAACTTCTCTGGAACTCAAGAGTGTTGTGGTTTTCAGATATATGCATTATTGTGTTCAACCATGTAATTTTAGTGTTTCACTCACTTGGAAGTGGAGTTTATATCATCCTTCTTTATGTGTTGTGTAAGTGCTGCCTTATGAGGGCAGGTGTGGAGGGGATAGGGTTTCGTAGAGCTTCATATTGAACTTTGTATATGTCTTTAGTGACTTTTATTGTACCAGCAACCAAAAAAAACTATTTTGTGTGCCTTTTGTCATGTCAAACAATATCGTTTTTTCATACTAGTACTCTATCGAACTTTAAAATTCTGGTATTGTGACAACCTTAAAAATGGGAAAAATTTGCTGCGCCACCAGATACAGCCGTAAAATACTGCCAGAAAGATCAATAATAATTATTCAATAGCATCATATAAATACCTAATACAACACTCTAAAAGGAGACATTCTGCATAATGAGTACTTTACTCCAGATACTTGCATGCAGTAACCACTGGTCAGCATCGAATGTTATAGCTGTCGGCAGAGGTACTTAAAATATACTGATGAGTCTATAAAGTAGTTCTATAAGTGATCTGAAAATAACTATAACTTTAATAAATGTAGTAGAATAACAAGTACAACATGTATATCTAACAGGTATCTCAAAAGTGGACTTAATGCAGTACTTGAGTTAATGTACTTAGTTACGTTCCACCACTGCTCCTTTCTCTATACCCTGATGTTTCTTGACACAAATATGATACTTCCTCTCCTTCTGCTTTGTCTTATTTTTGTTTTATTTTTTGCTTCTTACACTATCTGCCTGCCAGAAACTCTGAAAGCTTTACCTCAGTTCGGACTGGAAGAACAGCCCTTTTATAGCTGTTTTGTGTTCTAAAGAAATCTCTTTTTGTGCCATAAAGCAGTCTGGCACACAATGTAAAACACATTATAAATGCCAGTAAAAGCTGCCAGTCTTCTTGGTCGGATGTTTGTGGTAATTACACTAATGTCTACAAATGAAGGTGGTAATGATTTATTGATGTTACAGTGCTACATGTAGTACATTTAACAATCAGAGGTTTGCTGTAGTTATTACAATTCGATATAGAACCACCACCCTAACCAAAGAACCTTTGAAGATCCCTCTTTTTTCTGGGTGTAGCAGTGGCTGAATACATGGTTGAGTCCGAGCACCGATCGAGTCCTGGCTCGGTTGTCCGCTCTGTCCAGAAGGCAACTCCGCAGGACGTTAGCCGGCTCAGCATTCTGGGATAGCTGCCCAGGGGTCCCGGATGACCTCAAGAGTTAAAAGCAAACAGCGGGAGAGATAGACGAAGGCATGGAGGAAGCATGGAAACTGACAGAGAGACAGAGAAAGGAGGGATGGAGGTATGTGGATGAAGGCAGGGAGGGGGAAGGAGACGGGAGAGAGATGGAGGGCTGGGATGTTTTTAAGGGGGGGAGGCAGAAACAGAGAGAGAGAAGAAAAGACAGTGATGAAGAGAAAGACACAAGTAGGATAAAATCATCAAAAGATTGCATGCAGGAAGGAATGAAAAGATGTACAGGAGACAGACAGAGAGTGGGAAGTACGCTACATTACCAGAAGAATGTGGACACCCCTGTCTGTCTTTTGTGGTTCAAATATTAATGCTACAACATAGTGTGATATTTTAGGGCGTCCAACTTTGTGGCAACAGTTTGTCCCGTTCATGTTTCAACATGGTAATGCCTCTGCGCACAAAACGAGGTCAGTAAAGAAATGATATACCGAGTTCAGTGTGGAGGAACTGCATATCAAACCCATACAACACATCTGGGATGAAATAACAAGGTACGCTATTTGTACTGTGTGTTGTCTGACCACGCTGGAAGGCAAAAGTGTTTATAGTCACAGTTGAAAGTGGGGTGAAAAGGCCTGAATAATTGTTTAAATATGGGGATAACAGCAGCTCTCCTGGAGGGCATTCAGAGTTATATTGTTATAAAGAAATAGATGTGGAACGAATGAAAGAAGAACACTTCAGAGAGATGTTCAAACCGTTCTTACTTCTACACCTCCACACAGCTGGCCTGTTGCTGCGTGAAATGGTCATAATTTGTCAGATTGTCAGAGAGTTACAGAAATTGTCAGATGTCGGAAAAGTGTGTGGGGAGCAGAGGTGGCAAGTGGAAGTCCAGATTCAACTTCTTTACTTAAGTAGAATTGAGTACATTTCAGAGCCTGTACTTTTTCAAAGTATAAAAGAAAGAAGTATTGTTTCTCTTAGTACTTACTGCATTTTTTATTTCATTTTTGTCTTGTTAGGTCTGTCATGCATGGCATGCACTGGGTCTTGATGTTGGAAAGGAATGCTGTAATATAAAAAAATAATGCATAAATTCCCTCAAATGCATTAAAACTAAAGTAATGTTTTGTTACAAGTTTTGTAAATGTAAGAAGTGGAAAGTACAGATATTTGTAGTAAAGTAAAAAGTTGTTAGAAAAATAAATAAGAGCATTGATTCCTATTAAAGCTCAAGGTTTGGGAATGAGGTGTCCGTATGGGTGTAACGTCTGTGTGTCCACATACTTTTGTAGACTGTTAAAAGAGTCAAAACCAGTAGTTTGTTACTTTTTTAAAACTTACCCCTGATGAAACAGGAAAACCAGGAACCTAAAAAAGGCTGAGATGGAAGAAGTAATGCAAGATGAATGAGTGAAACAGAGGTTTACAAGACATACTTAAAAGGCAGCGTGTGTGTGTTTGTGTGTGTGTGTGAAGTAGAGAGAGAGAGAGAGAGTTAGAGAGAGACAGAGAGAGAGAGAAAGAAAGAGAAGAATTGGAAATGTCACCCCTCAGATGGACCTTGTGAGCGACATGTCAGATCTGTCATTTCACTCGCTGGCCGCCCCACCCGCTTTCCCACAGTCGTCTTCTCCTTGGCCTGATAATGACGCTTAAGAAGGTAATGGTGTAAATGAAAGCTGCCCCCCCCTTACACACACACACACACATACACATTTCTATCTGCATGTCTCTCTACCTCTCTCGCTCTCTGGGGAACAAAGAGGCCTTATTATACCTCCCTGTCAGCGTCGCTCTGTGTCTCACCACTGTACAATCACTGTTTTCAGCAGCACTATCAGCATGGGGTAAATGGAGAGAGAGAGTGGGCGAGACAGGTAGAGGGAGAATGGGAGCGTCTGTCTCCAGTGGCAGTATTCAACACTAGTTATCTAGAAGTGCTTTTTTAGTTTGAAGCGCACCGCTCGTTTGTTGAAAATGTCTTTGTGTGGATTTTTCCCCCCCTTCCTTTCCTTAAAGCTTGAACAGGCAGTGTAATTTATTTGAGGCGCGCGTTCACATGACACACATAGGAACACACACACTCCTTAAGTCGAGAGATATCTTCTTATTGGGGAATCTTTCAATAAATCAATGTGACTTTAAACACATTTCCCAGGCGACGCGGCTGACCTGATAAGAAGTGAACTAATCTCTTTTGAGGCTGCCGGGAGAGCTTTGAACCAAATCTACTGTGCATCTATCACCAAGGTTATTTGTCAATGGCTGCTAATCCCAGGTAAATTTCCCTGGTTTTATATCAGGGGTTCTCATGCCTGAAGTTTCTCGGCCTTGGGAAAATAAGAGAGCAGGCTTACAGAAAGTAGGGGAACAAAAGAAATGTTATGGATTTCAGCAGCAAAACAATGGATGAAGGAGGGAGAGGGAGCAGAGAGGCAGGGAGGCACAGAGAGAGAATGTCTATAAATTATTTTTTTGGAATGGATTGCAACGTATATGTATCTCTATAAAATGCTTTGTTATTGGAGTGTTCATACAAGTTCAAAAGTGATATCGGTCTTTTTAAAGAATACACTGTAAACTGATGGTTTGACTTTTTTGTTAACCCTATATGGGTCCCATCCAGGAGAAAAAAGTATGGGAAGTTTTTTTGTTTCTCTCTTTTGGATTTTTTAGTTCCACTAACAACAACAACAAAATCATTATTTTTTTTCAACTGACCACAGTGTTTAAATTAGTTTAAAGTACATAAAGATTCAGCTTTTTTTCATTTTTTTGACACAAGAGCAACACATAAACCTGAGAATAATAAATTTGATATATAACATAAAAATAACAGATTAATTTAAAGATTAATAATAATAATAGATTAACGGTCACAAAAAGCCTTGCTCATCTCTGCTTTGGAGGATGGATCTCTTGTATAAACCTTTGAGTTTTTAACATACATTTCAATATAGACAGCCCTGGGCGGAAGTTGCACCCCTTCCAGATCAGAGGGGAGTCTGTCCACAGTTGTTATTGTTTTTAAATGGGATTTTCTTGCCCAATTATTACCAATATCGTAAGTATTGCCCTAGATTTACCTAATTATCAGTGTGTTTCCATTTATTACATATTAAAAACGTCAGTGAAACTGATTTAATCATTTCAAGAAATATAAAATGGAATAATGTTAGATTGATCATAGAGACAGCAATTTATAATCAGTAAGCTTTCTTTTATGGCAGTTGTTAAAAACAACGCTGCTTATAATGAACGTTTCTGCTGACTGGTAGAAGTTTTTTTTTTTTTGTTTGATATTTCAAAGTCAGATCTTTAAACTCTTTAAACTTCAACAAAAGCCCCCCCAAATTACAAATACCTCCATTACCATTTTGGGCGTATCATGCTTTGGTCGAGCCGTAGAGATGGCTTAATCCAGTGGTTCCCAACCTGGGGGTCGGGACTCTCCAGGGGTCACCAAAGCTTCACAGGGGGTTATGAGGCCTTCTTAATTTTAAGGGGTGGACGAAAACTTTGAACATATACACAGTAGGCCTATATATCATCAACAGAACAGTATGCAGCTATAACAACCAAGGAGCTAATAGCGTCAGGGAGAAGAAAACACTGAATTTATCTAAAAAGAAGCCTATTAAGTCTGTATGATTTTTAAATAAAAATAAAGCAGTTTTCAAAAATATCATATATATATTTATCTCTTTTCAATATTCACAGGAAATAATGAGATCGTAAATAGCTCGTTTTACACAAACTTCCTGCAGTTTATCAGTTGTTCTGTACTGCTCTGTATTGAATATAATATGAAATATCCATAAAATATGTAATTTAGTTAGGGGTCGGCAGGTTAGTCAATGATAAAAAAGTGGGTCCCTTAAAGTCCATAAAGGGGTTAAATACATCACTGGCCTCTATTCTCACAGCGTTTTAATGTCATCTGTCATGTCTGCGCCCACTCAAGGTCAGAGCAGAGATCCAGGAAGCCGAGCTTTGGTTGCATCTGTGTAATTTATGAGCACCCAATTAGCCGAACACACAAACTAATGATTGTGACCAATGTTTGGTCCACAATGTGGAAAATAACGTCCCGCCTTCACCTATTACAGGCAGCATCGTACCACCACACACACTGTTTGGCAATAAATAATTGATCGGGCGCATTATTCAAAGTGGGAAGTTTCTGTTTTTGCCATTTCTTGTGCTGCTGCACTACCTCATGTCTTTGATTTTTCTTCTTTTTTCATTTTCATCCTCTTTTTTTCCTCTCCGTCCCTTGAAGCCCACCCCCATGTGCGCAGAAGATCATGGAAAATCTCTTGCCATATCTGTCATCTGTCACGCTCTCTGATGAACAGTTTTGATCTCTCGCTCCTCTGTTTATGGCCGTTGTCAAGCGAAAAAGAGTCGTAGCCGTAAGTGCTTACACCAGCGCGTAAATAGTTTGACGTGTGGCTCTGTAACAAAGTTGTAGGAGTAAATAAGAAACCAAACAACCACGCAGAATTGCAATTAAGTTGTACGTCTGCGTTATGAAATGTTTGGAGCAGCGTGATTTCTGCCCGCTCTTTTACATTTCCGAGTCGTGATATCAAAAGTGTGTTTCTTTGTTGCAGAAAGACTCTTTGGCTGGAAGAGATCAAAGGCTAAGCACAGTATATTATGGATAGCACTCAGCTACACACATGCAGACACACCACACAGAGGGATAGCAGAGGGATATGTGGAATATAATGTGATTGCTGCTCAATTCTTCCATTGTGAGGTCATGGTGTTAAGGTCCAAGTGAGGTGGAGGAAGAAGACTTTCACAGCTGAATGGGACAGGTTTTAAACATTAACATTAAAATCCAGACGGGACGACAAATCTCCCACAAACATGTCCCCTTTTATCCCCCTTAACTGGCAATGGCAGTAGTTTTCTCCAGTTGAAATATTTTAAATGCATTGTTTTATACGCATTTCACTAAAATTCAGCCTGACGTTTCTGGCATCTTTGGACACTTGGAGATCTCCACTAGGATTTAAAATAAAGTTTATTTTCAGAATTCAGAATACAAAAACAATTTGCTGACAGGAAAAGATGTCTCCAGTGCCATGACTTCCTTTAAGAGAGTTTTTTAATCTTAGTGAGGCCTTGCGTGATTAAATA